GGACGTCGAAGCGTTCGTGCGTGCCTGTTTGCACTGCCTGTGCATTGACGGAGAAATGGTTCCCCGTCCATTGGGTTCGGCGCTTCACGCAGAGAAGCCGAACGAGCTCATCCATTTCGACTGGTTGTCGATGCCCATGGCCAAGTCTGGCCAAAAAAAAGTGCTGGTCGTGAAGGACGACATGAGTTGCTTTGTGCAGCTGTTTGCGGCAGAGTCCGCTGACGCCACCGCGACCGCTCAGTGCCTGATGACGTGGTTTACCACGTTCGGCTGCGTTGACACATGGGTATCAGATGGCGGTTCTCACTTCAAGAACGAAGTGATCGAGAAGGTGCGGAAGTTGGTGGGTGCCCACCATCATATCATGACAGCCTACAGTCCTTGGGCGAACGGGACTGTGGAAGTAGTCAACCGACTAGTGCTGCGCACCGTGAAGGCGCTGCTCAGCGAAATGAAGCTGAACGCGGACGAATGGCCACATGTGTTGCCCCTCGTTCAAGGCGCCTTCAACCATCAGCCGGCGGACCGGCTGGGAGGAATTGCGCCTGTGACAGCGTTTACCGGCCTGCCAGCCAAGACCCCGCTGGCAGGATTTGTCCACCCGACGTCCAAGGAAGTTTACGTCGCGGACTGGCTTGGCGCCGCCCGTCAGAAACATGTGACGGACCTCCAAGTGGCGCTAGTAGAAATGCACCGCAACGTGGCGGTGTGAAGCGACAAGTTGCGTCAGCAAGCGCGTGGACGCCGCGACCGAAAATCCCAAGTCAAGTTTGGGGGTTTTTCGGTCGGCGATTTTGTGCTTGTCGGATCGGTCGTCAACCGTCCGACAAAATTGGCCGTGCATTGGCGCGGACCCTGCCAAGTGACCAGAGTCATCACAGACCATGTGATGGAGACTCAGCAGCTGGTGCCATCGTATGAAGTCACGGTCCATCATGCGTGCCGACTGAAGATGTACCACGAAGGTGGTAGAGAGGTGACTGAAGACCTCGAGGCACAGATCGCGTTTGGCGATGGCGGATTTCATGTGGAGCGACTGGACGAAGCGAGCTGCGTGGATGGCCAACACCAAGTTTTGAAGTGGCTTGGACTTGACGAAGAAGAATCGTCCTGGGAACCTGCGGCGAATTTGCTGGACGACATTCCAGTCGTATTTCGCAAGTGGGTGGCGGCGAACAAGGAAGACCCTGCCGTGGCCGCCCTCACAAAGACACTGGACTTTCCGTAGGAGGGGAACTGTTCTGCAGCGTGCAGAGCAATTGGGTCGCGCGTTAGCTTGACCCATTGCAAACACACACACTCTGTGTGTGTGGCGTGTCAAAGGTTCCGATACCTTAGTGGAGGTACTTAGTACTTTAGTGAATGGTAGTCAGTAGGCGCCTCGTGGCGTGTTTAACCTCACTACAATCAGTGTGTATATTTGCTGCCTTGACGAAGGTCCCGTAGCCGAAAGCCAAGAAGAAGCGGGAGACAATACACTGCCCCTCGTCGCGGTCGGGAAGACCAAGCTCAAGCTGTTCAACTCGGGCGTGTTTTGATGAGCAAATTCCCGCTAGTATGGTGCGATACTTAATTGTATGGATCGGTGGCCATTGCCGACGAAAACATGGTGGACAAGGTGGCAGTGTACGTCCAGATGCTCAAATATGGCCAAGTCGTGCACATCTTTGCGACCCATGCCCAAGCGTGGGCCCACAAAGCTGCTATGATCTGTCGAGCCAAGCATATTCAACTGCTCGCTGCGTGGATACACCCGGAGGAACTTCCCCCAGACGAAGCGGTGCTGGTGGCTGGGGACGTCAATATTGACCAGTTTGGTAAACGAAGTGCGGAATTCGACTGGATGGCAGCTACCCTTCAAGTGGAGACGCCGTCGACGGTGCCCGAGGCGCCACACTTTAGCTTTGATCCGGTCACGAACGTACTGGCGTCGTCCGGGATGAGCAGCGGCGGAAAGGTCGAAAGGCTAGAGATTATGTTATGGCATCCACGAGACATAGTCAGCCCTCGGCCAGCTGGTCGCCAGTGCTGCCTCTGAAAGCGTCGCAAAGATGGTTTCATACCAACGGAATAGAGTTGATTACAGACCTCTCGGACCATTACCCCGTCATGTCAGAGTTTCAGTTTGATGAATCCACCACGTGGCCCAATGATTTGTATATACAGTACAACTACCTACTTATACGTATGGGCGCAGTTCCATGACACTTTTTGGGACCCTTCGATGGAGGGGTTCCTTTACTCCAAATTGCTATTATAATAGTGTTTCTTAAAGAGGAGAATTAATGCAGTTCGTAGAACTCAACTGTAAATCATGTCGAAATTCGTATTCGTGTTGATGGAAGAAAATGTATTGTCATCGGAAATCGTAGGCCAGGTGGCCTGCTGCATTTGATTGGGTAAAATCACGAAAAACCCTACAAATTGCTTCAAGTTGGTTTGGCTTGGTATACTTACGCACCATAGCATTAGGTGCGGGCCGCGAAATGCGATGCTTGTGAAGTACCTCTGTGTGTGCGTGCAAAGTGATGAGCTGCATTCGGGGCCATGTACGGACTTAGTAGTTCTGCTGTGAAATGCATACAGGACCTTATTCTCAAAACAACTCCTGTTGGCGGTGCGTGCAGTGCTCGCGTTTGTGGCACGAGACAAGAGGCAGCGTTGGTGCCACGTGAGGTCATTGTCGTCGAGATATTCGAGACGCAACCGCATGCGACACGAGTGCCCAGTTGAGGCGGACGGTGATATGTATGCATGCCAAAGTCGCATTTATTGGATTGATGGGTTCTATGTTTCATAATATGTATGCCGCCTCATCCCAGCCAGGGACTACACTACTGTAGCTCGCAGGTCGTGTGACGTCTGTAGTCATTTCACAACGCATTGACCCCTTGCAAGCATAGCGTTAGCATTTTTCAGAGCGAATGAGCCACAAAAATGAATAGGAAATCAGCGTAAACCAATAGACTGCACCAGTAGCGCAGTGCAAATGATTCGCCAAAGAAACAACTTCTCTCCGCTTACTTGCTTTAACATGGCGACCATTAACCTCGCCAAAGATGCAGTGCAAGCATCGCGGTGATCATGTCTTGAGGTCATGTATATTTCAGCCAATTATAGGCGTGCAATATGGAGTAGGATGCGTGGCCTACGATTTCGCAAAACCGTTCGCTACTTGACCCGTTATATGAGTTATTGTATGGTCATGAAGTTTTGGTAAATGCGAAAATGTAGGCCAGCTGTCCTACGTCTCTCTTGATTGTTGTATATCTGGCCTACAAAATCTGATGAATGTATTGTCATCGGAAATCGTAGGCCAGGTGGCCTGCTGCATTTGATTGGGTAAAATCACGAAAAACCCTACAAATTGCTTCAAGTTGGTTTGGCTTGGTATACTTACGCACCATAGCATTAGGTGCGGGCCGCGAAATGCGATGCTTGTGAAGTACCTCTGTGTGTGCGTGCAAAGTGATGAGCTGCATTCGGGGCCATGTACGGACTTAGTAGTTCTGCTGTGAAATGCATACAGGACCTTATTCTCAAAACAACTCCTGTTGGCGGTGCGTGCAGTGCTCGCGTTTGTGGCACGAGACAAGAGGCAGCGTTGGTGCCACGTGAGGTCATTGTCGTCGAGATATTCGAGACGCAACCGCATGCGACACGAGTGCCCAGTTGAGGCGGACGGTGATATGTATGCATGCCAAAGTCGCATTTATTGGATTGATGGGTTCTATGTTTCATAATATGTATGCCGCCTCATCCCAGCCAGGGACTACACTACTGTAGCTCGCAGGTCGTGTGACGTCTGTAGTCATTTCACAACGCATTGACCCCTTGCAAGCATAGCGTTAGCATTTTTCAGAGCGAATGAGCCACAAAAATGAATAGGAAATCAGCGTAAACCAATAGACTGCACCAGTAGCGCAGTGCAAATGATTCGCCAAAGAAACAACTTCTCTCCGCTTACTTGCTTTAACATGGCGACCATTAACCTCGCCAAAGATGCAGTGCAAGCATCGCGGTGATCATGTCTTGAGGTCATGTATATTTCAGCCAATTATAGGCGTGCAATATGGAGTAGGATGCGTGGCCTACGATTTCGCAAAACGTTCGCTACTTGACCCGTTATATGAGTTATTGTATGGTCATGAAGTTTTGGTAAATGCGAAAATGTAGGCCAGCTGTCCTACGTCTCTCTTGATTGTTGTATATCTGGCCTACAAAATCTGATGAATGAAGTAGTAGTAAAAGAGTGGAAATATCGATAGTCTGAAAACAGTTCCGAGCCACTTGATTTTATCCAGTTATCTGTCAAAAATTGCATCTGATTGACTGAAAATTTCAGAGTGATAGTTTTCTACCAATCATGCATCGTGGCACGGAACTGTGCTCATATGTACGTATATACTATGTCCACTTCATGCCTTGGCATTCTCGAGTGAATGCAACCACGACGACTAACGTTATGTACTAGTAACAAGCGTCTAGTTACTACGCGAGCTGCACGTTAATAGAGTTTCGGGGTTTCGGGGGTTTTGGGGTTTCGGCAGTCAGCGGCAGTTACGTCGTCGCGACGTTTGGTGGCGACGTTTGGCGTGACCAATCAGGTCCGATCTTGAGTTAGTTTGGAGCCAATCAAACATGAGTGCTGCGAAGCGCCGCGCCTATCAAGTTGTGAACACGGCACTTTTGCATTTGCTTTGGCAAGAGTAGTAGTGTGAAAAATGCATCGCTTCGTCCTGTCAGCTGGACTGGCGGGGGTCGTCCATGCCCGCATCGAGTGGATGACCAAGTACAACTTGTCCCCTGACACGACTCCCCGGGACCTGCTGCCGGCGTCGTCGGAAGACACAACTCCTTCCCTTGTGCGCGAAGACACGTACGAAGTGTGCAAGTGGCGGGCTAGTGGCGACACCAACCAGTTCAAGTACGACTTGACGGTCGAAACGTCGCTGGCACCGGCGGACCCGATGCAGCCGACGGGGGATAAGTTCGTTGAAACGGCGGACAAGTGTTTTCCCAACTTTTTTGCCGACAAGGCGAGTGTGTATTATCCGTACCCGCGCAGCAGTTTCAACTACGACCTCAATACCCCGTGGACCCCGTCGGCGGCCGACAAGCCCCGCGTGGATGTGGACGTCTCGTACGATGTAGGAGACACCAACACGTTTGTCAAGGTCTCGCCCGACCCCGTCGATTACAAGACATTTGAAACGGACGGCCCGTCGATCCTGTACAAGGCCATTCCAAACAAGCGCGGCACGTACAACATCGTCGTCAACGCGTTCGACTTTGGTGCAAAAGTGTCGAAAGAGTGTGCAACGTGCGTGGCTGTGAACGATTTGTATCGCCCCAAGGGGGATAAGGCCAAATGCCCCGTGAAAACGGCCCCTGTAGACAACGACACGAGCCAAGTGTTCAGCAAGGACACGGTGAACGCGTATAACGAAGCTGTGGACAAGCTGCTACTGTACCAGTCCAGCGCGACCAACAACGGATGCAGCGACCTCCGCTGCGATACGGTGTACTTGACCGAGAAAACCGGGACCACTGACGGAACTCCATCCAAAGTGGAGGACAAATCGTTCGACGCTGTCGCCACCGTGAACGCCGCCAAGACCGCCCTTCAAGCCCAGTGGAAATCGTGCATGTCCAAGCCCTTCTCGGACGCCGAGTGGACTGCGCTCAAGATAAACCCCCTGGGGGGCGATGCTACCAAGCCCGCGTTCCAGACATGCCAACGCTCGTGTGCACTAGGGGCAGAGCTCAAGGAGTGGTTCACAGAATACACGTGCGACGCGCCGCCACCAACGCCCCTCGCGGCCAGTCGCAAAACCTGTGTGGGGGACGCTACGGAAAAGTGCGAGTATGACCAGACCCTCACGTTCCCGTCGGGGGACTCGCTGGTCAAAAGTGTCAGCGTCAAGCTCAAGGTGGGCCCAGACTCCAAGTCGTCGTTTGGGGGACTGATTCAAGACCCTGCGACAGTGTTGAGTGCCCCGTACAAGTCGCCGTACGAGAGCACCTACAACGAGCTGCATTTCGACTCGCAGTGCGTGCTCCCTGTCAACCCCACGGCCGACCAGACGGCCAAATACAATGCGTTCTGCAACTTTAACGTCAAGTTGGTGGACCTGTTTACGTTCTCCGCCACGATCGCGGACGACGAAGCGGTCGCGGGGCTCTTTACGCTGCCGCCGACTACTCCCCCCACATCCCCCCCTGCCAAGCGAAACGTCGACGAGATTGTGTATTGGACCGTCAAGACTGGGGAAGATGGCACCCCCCAGCTTGTAGCTCCCGACACAGTCCTCATCTTAACGCAGTTCCAGACAAAATGGACATTTGAAGCGTTCACGGCTTGTGGCAAGGTCCAGGCGGCCGTGACGTGGACGGCGTACGTGCATCGCCAAGAACAGCTCTATGTAACGGATTGGCTCAACAGCCTCTTTGCAAGTCGCGATAAGGGGTGCAACGTGCAAGATGCCGATTTTGGAGTTGTTCAGTTTAGCTACGACCCAACGAAAACCCCTTTCAAAGTGAACGAGAATCCGCCGACGCCCGCCGTGATGTATTTGGACTTTGACCAAGAAGGGACAACCATCACCACCCCCCTCTCCGATGGACTGAAAGACTATACCCCCCACGGTCAAGACCAAACCACCGAAGTCCTCGGCGAGAATCCGTTTATTGAAGCCAGTGAAGTGGCTGCTGGCAGCCCACCGGTAGACCAGGATAACGTCAGCAGCCCCGTCGTCGTCGTCGGCGACCAGCCCACCATGTTGTTGTCCAGCACTACCGACGTCGAAGTGCTGATCAAGTGGAAGCTGCTTGGGTTGACCTGCTCGTGGCAATACACGGACACGACGGGGGCGTCGGATCCGTGGATCAGCACCGCCACCTCCACAGTGGCGCAAGAAGCAACGTCGACAGACTTTGCCATCCAGCTGGAAAACATCGACATCACCCGGTTCAAAGCGCTTTGCGAGCTCAAGTTTCAGTCGGTCGCGTCGACGCTGACGAATACGCTGTCGCCCGTCGCCACCGACGAGCTCAAGGTCCAAAACTGCGACGTCCCGCGCTTCAACGTGGGCCAACCGTCCGACCAGGGCCGGTTCATCAAGGACACATGCGACAAAACCACCTGGAAATCCGCCACGTGGCAGCCGGCGCCTTTCCAAGCATGTGGCGGGTCGCTCGTGTTTGCAGACGACTCGGCCAAGAAGACGGTTCTGTCGACCCCCCCGATTGACTTGACTTGCTGCAACGCGGCGTCGCTGGAGCCCCAGTTCACATGCGGAGCCGTGGATGGCACGCACACCAAGTGGTGCAATGCAGTTGTGGCGACACTGTACATTCAAGTCGAGTACGGCTCGCAGCCCGACCAACCGCCGCAAAACGTGGGATATGGTAAAACGGCTGTGCGGGTAGGGCTACAAGGCCAAGTGTCAGCTTTTACGATCGCCAAGGGGTACGAGTTGGTGGGGATTGACAAGGACGGCAAGACCAGCACGTGGATCGGAGACGTCAAGAGTTTGCTTCAGAACGACTGGGACGACCGCATCGTCGCTGTGGTGCTCCAGAAGACGTCGCCTACGAATGCTGTGCAGCTGTTTCAGCAGCCCAACTACGACTACCCCGGGCCGGTGTACGGGGCGACCGCTGGCGCGCAGTTGGTGGATGCGGCCGTGTTTCTCGACGGGTTTGTGGGCTCATTTCACCTACAGCAGGGGTTTCAACTGGAGATTGTTGACACCAACGGCGGGTATGCCAAGTTCACGGCCGACAACCCGACCCTGAACACGAACGTCAAGTCGTTCACGGTGAGCAAAGCAACCCCCCCAACAGCTTCGCTGGAATACCTGGGCAAGGGCAAGTCGTCGGTGGCGCTGGGAACGGTCACGATGATGACGGTGGTGGTCGTGGTCGCGGTGGTCGTGATGGGCAAGCGCCGCCAACAAGCGTCTACGGTGGACGTCGAGGAAGGCTATGTTGCGCTGATGCATTAAGTGGGAGAGTGTGTTTATATCTGTACATGTTTGCGTATATATACAGTAGATATACTCGAGGGCGAGGAATAATCATCTACTAGTAACAACTAACCAGATTGAATTCATTGCAGTTATTACTCGTTCCAGGGGTTCTATTTGCAGAACCCCGAAACCCCGAAACGTTTGGTTTACTGTTAACAACAGAGATAACAAACCCCAAAACTCCGAAACAGTTACCTCTTGGAAATAACGTTCTACAGGTAAATAGTGTGTACGAACACTATATATTGGAAAGGACTATCTGGATTTGGTTGAGGTTGAGGGGCCGTGGAAATTAATTTAAAGTTTGCATACGAAGAACCAGTGAACAATAAACCAGCTTTATTGAATGACATTTTGAAAGTGTGCATAATTCTTTGATCGCCATGGCGACCACTGCCGCCAGTCCGTATCACGTCCAGACGACAACGGCGGCGGCGGCACCACCAGGCGTCGGCGTCAAGTTCATCCTTGCCGGTTGCTCCAACTTGAGTGCGGCGTTCATCACGAACCCCATAGACGTTCTAAAGACGCGCATGCAGCTAGAAGGAGAATTGCCTCCCCATGCTCCGAGGCGGTATGGCGGGTTCGTCGCTGGCGGCCATACCATATTACGCTCGGAAGGATGGAGGGGGTTCTACAAAGGACTCACTGCATCTCTGATGCGGGATGGGTTCTACTCTGGCATTCGTCTGGGAGCGTACGAGCCAGTGAAGGAGCTCCTTGGCGCGACCGACCCGTCCACGACTCCGCTCTACACGGTACGTCGTTCAATCGTTCGACCTTGACTCAAGATTGTGTGCAGAAAATCACGGCCGGAGCGATCACGGGCGCGTTCGGCAGTGCGTTGGCGAACCCCACCGACCTGGTCAAAGTGCGCATGCAAGGGGAAGGCACTCGGTATGCATCGACCCGTCAAGCGTTCGTCGATATCTGGACGCATGAAGGGACCCGGGGTCTATGGAAAGGGGTCGGGCCGACTGTGAAGCGAGCGGCACTGCTCACCGCGACCCAGATCCCTAGCTACGACCACTCCAAGCACCTGCTCATCAACCACGACGTGCTCGAAGAAGGCGTGCTGCTGCACTTCATCTGTAGCATGTTTGCGGGGTTTATGGCGGCGACCGTCACCTCTCCAGGTACATAGTCATTCTACATACACATCATCTCGGGGTTTGATATGTGTAGTCGACGTGATCAAGACTCGCATCATGCATCAGTCGACGCAAGTGTACTCTGGGTCTGTGGATGCATTCCAGAAGATCGTACGGAGCGAAGGAATCGCGGGACTGTACAAGGGCTGGTTCCCCAACTGGATGCGCCTCGGTCCGCACACCATGATCACGCTCATGATCTTTGAAGAGTTAAGAAAGATCGCTGGCCTCCCACCCATCTAGGGACAAAGACGCGGCACCGCCTTGGATACTCGAAAGAAATCAACCGTATAGATATATATATATATATATTCAGAAAATATATTTGAAATATATATGCTTGACGGCACAAATATATAATAGGAGCGATATCCGGATACACCTTATATCCGGATATTGCTTTTCCACGCACCACCGATGACGACCTCATCCCATGTGTACGAGCTGTTTGGCGGCAGGACGCTGCATGTGGCGTACTACACCGACGTGAAGAACAGTGCGTCACTGCTGCACAAGATCCTGTCCAACGAACTCAACGTCGCCCTCATTAACGCAGACACGGTACCCAACCTCCTCTCCCCACTCGATTCATCCCTCGATGGTAGGTCGTGAGCCTGTTCCAAATCCACGCCGCCGCGTCTCGCGCGCTCCTCTCGGTGCAAAACCACTCGATGACCACGAACTCGCTCCACTCGGAACTTGTCTTCAATCTGTCAGGGACGCGCAACGTCACAGATTCGCTCCGCCGCTTCGGCATCAGCAACCAAGCCACCCAGGTCCTTGTGTGCGTGTTCGACGATGCTACCGCCCTCGACACAGTCGGCATTGATGGCGTGCTGAAACCTGTGACTTCCATCGAAAACCACGCCCACTTGACTCCCGAACACATCCAAGTGTTGAAGAAGCACTACAAGATTCAGGACCTGGAGCTGCAAGTGACCACGCTCAGCGATGCCATCGTCAGCCGCATTGCGACCAAGAACGTCAATAAGTAGTAATGATAGCCTACTCATTGGTAGTCATTGTAGGAACACCCCGAAACTCCGACCAGAGTTGGCGGGGGTTCGGGGTTTGAGCTTTTGTTTGTACGGATAATTGCCTGTTCGAAAAACCTTATCCGGTATTTCGATATTTTTCCAAGCAGTCGTTCTTGCTCGACATTATTGCGCCAACTCCAACACACATCATGGAAAGCTTGGCTGTGCAGCGCCAGATCCGTGAGAATGCCTCGTACTTGCAGGATTACTTTTCAGACATGAGCGCATGGGAGAAGTCCATGGCCAAGAAGGAGCAACAGCTCCAAGGATCCAAACGATCCGCCGCGCCAGTCCGCCGTGCAGTGGCCATGAGTGTGCGCGGGTCCGACGGCTCAGTGTCCATCCAGCACCCGCTGAATGCCACCATCGACACCCCAAGCAAGCCGACGAAGGCGCCATCCCAACACGTGTATGACAAGGGATACAAGAAATGGGACTCGTTCGATGTTGTACGTACTGGACTTTGGACACATCCCATCCTCATATATGCTTCGTCAGGATGCTGCTCTGAAGGAAGTCGACACACCCAGTGTCACCCCCGATCAAGACGAAGAGGATCCCGAGGAAGC